TAAGAAGGGAGCGGAAATATTTTGAAAATGTCACCTAAACGGCACAGAAGCTATACTGCTGGTTTTACGCTTAATGTAATTTCACATGCTGAACAAATTGGAAATCGAGCAGCAGCTCGAGAGTTTGAAGTGGACGATAGGTATAGCAGATTTATGAAAAGAAAAAATATTTCTGTGCGTACTAGAACAACAATCGGGCAACAATTACCAATGGACTGGACGGATAAAAAGGCATCTTTTATAAAATATGTGACAGATATTATTGACAAAAAAAAAAAAAAAAAACTTTCTGGTCACAGATAATAAATATGGATGAAATGCCGTTAGCTTTCGACTCTCCTGCAAACAGAACTGTTGATGAAACTGGTGCCAAAACTGTATCTGTGCTTACAACGGGGACTGACTGATTAATTTATTGCCTAACTACCACACAGTGTGCAGTTTTTCCAGGTCAATCAAATTTGCCACATGGGTGCATCACATGGTATTATCTGCCCATGGTATCCCAGAGGGAGTGAAGGAGGTGGAAAAAAGGGGGAGACTGAGACATCGCGCGATCATGGACAGCAAGTGAAACGTCCTAAGTTAATTGAAGAAAAAGCACAATGTCTTAAAGTATCAGTACAATACAAATACAGAAAGAGTAAAAATATTGTTACGAAAAGGCAGGGTTGCCACATTTGGCGAGAAATCGCTAATTTGACGACATTTGGCAACAAAATTGGTGATATACCATGGACGGTTGGAGAGTCTTCTGGAACGAATTCTTACCGGTTTAGTCCAGAATGTTCCCGAACACAAGCCGAAAGCTATATAAACCGTGCTGGTCCGCAGTCAAAGAGTGCGCTTCTGAGGAAGTGTGTCTCTCAACAAGCATGAGTGTGTCTCGTCTAGCGAGTCAATCCCTGCGGAGTCGATCGAGTTGACAGCCGGGCAGCGAGTGCCGAGTGGGTCGTCAAGTCCACCGAAGGAGTCTGTTAGTGTATCGCGGTTAGTGCATCGTCGAGAGAGCATGTTGAGCTCCGGGAAAGACCGAACTGAAGAGTCAGAAGCTGTGCTCGTGTGTCGTCGGGTGCATCGTGAGTTGTAGCGTGGAGAGTCTCGAGAGTACGTGGAGTTCCGAGAACGACTAAGCAGAGTCGGGAGCTGTACTCCGGAAAGCAGAGTCGGCTGCTTTGCAGGAGGCTGTCTCCACCGTGATAGCCTGATAACCAACCTGAAGGCCGTGTCGCTGATCGTGTCAATAGTAGATCTTCGATGACTGTAAAACGTGCTTTGGAGCTCTCCTGATTAATATTGATAAATAAAGTGTGTTTTGATACTTCATAAAGTGTTGTCGTTATTCACTCCAAATCTACGAACCCCGTACGAACGTGAAGGAAGGAAATAACGTAACAACTGGTGTCAGAAGAATAGGTAGAGGAAAAACGTAACAATATATACAATATGTACACTATATACAGGATATTGCACTATATTGCACACTACTAATCATTAAGTAGGACTACGACGGGGCATGAAAGAACGTTATTTACACATATGTGTTAGCTTGTGCTGCAAACGGTGACAAGCTAAAGCCGATGATCATTTTTAAATGAAAGACTATTCTGAAGGGAGATTTTTCTAATGGCGTAATTATTTGTGCAAACGAGAACGGCTAGATGTGTGAAACAATCATGCGTGAGTGGCTACAAAAAGTTTGGCAGTGTCGTATGGGATCTTTTATCCAACCAAAAGGGTTATTGATAATGGATTCCATGCGTGCTCATTTACTTGAGTCTGTGAAAACCAGATGTCAAAAACTGTCTGCGACCATAGCAATAATTTCTGGTGGTTTGACAATAATCTTAACAATCCATTAGATTTGTCAGGTAATAAATCCTTCAAAGCTGAAGTCCGAAAAGCGGTGGGAAATGTTGGATGAGTGAAGGATTGCATACGTATACCAAAATGTGGCAAAACGTGTTAGAGCATCTTATGAAGAAGTTGCAAAGTTGGTAGGAAGTGCGTGGAAATCAGTGAAAACATCGTCAATATTAGCAGGCTTTCAAAGAAGCTGAAATTATAGTCCTTAGATAAAGAGACTGTAAACCAAGAAGATGAATGTGATGTTCTGAAAGACTTGGACTTAGATCAGGATTTACTAAATCTTTTAATTCAGATAGTGAAGAATCAGATTTTGATGGCTTCATATGATGTATAGTTTGCTGTAATTCCTTTTGTAAGTAAAATTTAAAATTTCCTTTTGTCATCCAAATTTAATATTTCGTTGTTGCAACATTTTTTAATAATATAGTCTGAGTATTACAAATATGGACTTCTTTAGTGGGTAAATATAAGTATATACGTGAAGGTAAATATATTTTCCACATTTCTTACCTTTAATTTATTTTTGAGTTACGGTTTCATTTCATGCGTTTTTCTTAACTGGTATGTCATATATCAGGACTTAGGTTGAGATTTTGCATCTATACAGCCCACGATGATGTCACGCGTAATTCAATCTATTGCGGCATTTCTGTGCAATTTTAATTTTTTCCCGGCCATTTTTCTCGAGTGTGGCATTTACGCTGCTGCGGTCTTTCTTCCGGAAATTATGGTACATATATTTATGCAGATTCTTCCTTATTTAATTTCTTTAAATATAATAAAGGGCTCTAATATTTTTCAGCAACAATTTGAAAAGTGAACCAACATTTATAGTGAATCAACACAAAATGCCAAAACGAAATTAATAGCCCTTCTGGGCAAATCGCCCCTCTTTGGAAGAATTAAAGAAGAATTAGCATCCAACATTAAAAATTATTGTTTTTCAATTAAAAGTAATTTTTCCTGATAATTATGAAAAAGAAAATTCGATTAAAAATTCATTTTGTTCAAATGTACCCAAACTTTTTATCTCATGAAGAAAAGAAAATTTGAAGAAATATCTGTGATCGAACTGAAAATTTCATAAATAACACATTTCTTAACGTTCGGCTGAAACCAAACAAAAAAGATTTTAAAGGCATTTAAAAAAAACCCAACCTATTTGTGTGAACAACGATTTTCTTCCATGCTATATTTGGAAAATAAATATGGAACAAAATTTGAAGTGGATTCTTATTTACGGTTTAAACTAGGTAAAATAAGACCAAACATACAGAAATTGATATATCTTAAACAAACCCAAATCTGGCACTAAATTTTAGAATTAAAATATTATAACTTAAATTTTGATAATTAAAATGTTAACCAATTTCTAATCTAATACTTTTTATGTACGCATATCTAATACAAACAGCCAATAGGTTGTGGAAATGGCAAATTTTTTTTATATCTATATTGAGAAACTGAAAAATAATCATTATAAAATGTAGATGTGGCACTAAAATTCTCAAAATTTTGTTTAGATGGTACGCATTAGTCAAAAGGTTGAGAACCACTGTTCTAGAGTAATCAAAAATCATATATCACATTAATTTGGCAATCTAATTTTGATATGTGATGCTTGGAAAAAATACAATTTGGAATGTTAGTTAACACTGGATGTAAGGATTGTCTGACTAGCTATCTTAATTTATGATATTCTTGGAATTTAATAAATGTGTTTTGATACATATATACATATTTTGCTTCATTTGTGTTATTTTTATTCTTGGTCTGGCTTGTCACTCCATTTGTTTCAGACATAAGGCTTTTAGAAAACATTCAGACTTGGGGCATTGTTAATATTTTTATGAGTACAGGGTTTCACAATGCACCTTTAGTTTTACTAGTACTAACCAGTTATTAATAATTATTTGATTGTTTATTGATAATTTGTAATGAATTGTAGGTGCCAGGAATGTACTTAAACTCTTTGAATTTATTAATTTTGCGGAACAGATTGATTGTTGCATGAATATTCCTTCTCTGCTGTTGGTGAGGTTTTGAATTTGTGGAACTGAATAATGTTGTTGATTCTAGAGTTAATTATGGAATTGACTGAATATGTAGTTATGTAAATTGAAGTAATGGTTTTTGTTAAAGATAGCATTCGGTTTGCTCAAGCAATAGCAAAGATTTATTCCTCTTTATTTTATTTATTTATTTTTTTTTATTTTATTTATTATTTTTTTTTAGGTTTGATTTATTAAGTGTGAGTTTGCATTTGTTTGAGTTGATTGATTTTAACGATATGTTTATTAATTCCTCTGGGTTTAGATCAATTATGTACACAATTTAGGAGTTCACAGTTTTCAGTTTATTTTATTTTTTAGTCGGGCACTAAAGAGTGTAAGTTAAAGACAGGCAGTTGAAACCTTAAAAATTTAATACTAAAATGTTTCTGCAACTAAACATTAACAAATTGAACTGCACACATTTCTAATTTTAAAAAAAGGCATACTACATAAATTATTTAGATTTTAATTATCCACTAGCATTCATCAATAGCATCAAAATTCTAGATGCATCATAGATACTGTTCTCTATTAATATGAAAGGGAAAATAAAAATTATTGAGAAATAGGTAATTCCTCCAAAAATGATTCCATATGAATAATCTTAATTGTTTTAGTTAATTTTGTTTCAATATAAATATATATTTTTTTAATATTTACATTCATTGGGCTTGGATTGCTTTATTTCTCGAAACCACATGAAGGCTAATGACATTTAACACAAGACTCATATTATTCCTTCCCTCCTCTCAGGAACCAACCTCTCAAGAGGATTTTTAGATCAACAGAGTGCTTCCAATTTACAAAGCAAAAACCACGTTTACACACTATACTGAATTCAGAACAATGCCTAACTGCATATGCAGTCATTCTGCTAATCATCATGTAATCCAAAGTATCATTTCACCTATCAACATTTGATATGTCATTTTAGCATTACACAATAAAGACAACTCCTCAGTGAGTTTAGAATCAAATGCTGGCATTATTTTAGTATTAAGTTACATCCTTCAGAATATACATATAGAGAGAAAAAGGAAGTCAGCGAAAGAAATATTTCTAAAGGCAGGTACTTACCACTAAGATTTCTGTCAGTTATTCGAAAATTTAGAGGGCAAAATGCTTTAGATGAAACTACTCGTGCTTCATCTTTTATATCAGCAAATCTCATTTTAAGCTAGATAAGTAAAAAAATTAACACTTATTGAAATACAGATATTAATAAAGGAAACCAAATTAATACATAACTGAGTCAAACTGTTTTTTATACAAAGCTCAAAATAAATTTTTAAAAGTGATTTTTTAAATAAATCTTTTAATATATGTTTAGACTTTATCTTCAATAACATAATAAATGCCCAAACTCTAAAAACAGCATAAACATGCTGAAATGACATGCTGACAGATAATTAATAATAATAAACCAAATAAAAGCTACAGAAGAGAGACAGAAATCAATTACAGCTTAAAAAGAGACAAACATGTGAGCTGAGTGCATTACTTTCCATGAAAATGTGCAAATATGATGACTTTAGCAACTTAGATGATGAATGCACTGATAATGCAAGTCAGAAGGGTTGCTCTCTCACTCTGGAATACCTTCAAGGTTTTTAAAGCAACAGCACCAGGAATCTCACAGTCACTTCTGCCAATGAAAATTGTACTACCTACTGCATCAATTGTATATATACACATCTAGAATCAATCTTGAATTCCACAGGAAGGTGAACAGGTAGTTATACTAAATGCTGCAAAGTAAAAATTACAGAAGATACTATTTCACTTATGTGCTATAACAGAAGGTGTGATTTAATTAGCACCTCGTTAGATATTATGACTAACTGAACTTGCTACATAGTAGTACCAATATATAGTAGCAAGATTAACTGACAATTCTTCTACAGTGGGTTGATAGATGACACAGGCATATCTTGCCTACTGAAGACAGTGGAAGTTTTATGCCAGCAGAGGCAGCCATTTTATTTAAAAATTAATTGTTTACCTGGAGATATCTTAAAATTGTCAAGCTATCAGAATATACAGGATGATCATCTGTACTTTTTACATGGCTATCATGCACCTAAAGGCCATAATTTATTTCACTGGTGTTATAGGTTAGTTTACTGTGTCACTGCCTTCAATACATGACAGGGTTCATAGCCACATTTTAGTTAAAAAAATAAGCACTTTTCAAGCACATTTTAAGAAAAAATAAGTACCTGTCTAAATTACACAACTGCATAACCTTAAAAATTAGACTTGTCATTTAAATGAGAAATGGAGTATTTATTAAGAGAGAATAAGCATTACCTCAACCATAGAAAATAATTACTTTTTTTTTTTTTAAATTTTAAATAACAGTCCAATTTACAGAACTAGTTTACAATGAGAGGAAAAAAAAAAAAAAAAACTATGCAGAACTAAACATCTATTACCAAGATTTAATGATGAAAATTTCAGTTCAAAATAGAGAAAATAAATAATAATAAGGAATATTTATTGTATTTCGCTTGGAACCAAATAATAAATACAATTCATTTTTCCACTCATATTGATATTTAAATAATTTAAATCTAAATTCTGAACATTTCTAAATTTTCATTGTATATCAGTTTTCCCTTAACAGATATTGCAAGCAAAGTAATTTAAGTAAAAAAGAGGAACATTTCTGAAATCAGAAGACAGAAATTTGCTTCATGCAGTCATTCTTTAACAGTAAAAGCTTAACTAACCCGCATACTTGGAAATTGGCGAATATTCGGACAGTCGAGCGTAACTTGAAAAAGAGGAGCGGAAGGGGGTAGACTGTAGCTGCTCTTTAGATTTCTCCGCTAAATAAATGCTTTTGACATTTTGATATATGCATCATATAAAAATAAACCAATGGAACTGAAAAATATTCTGCTTAGTAAGCACAGTAAAACTCTTTTAAGTGTTCATAAACAAATCTCGGTCAGAACATCAAAATTAGTTATCTCTGCAAGATATCGCAAACGTTATTGCGCAATACGTGCGCCGTAATTCTTCCCTACGTGATATTACACAATCGGAATCAACAGCTGCCGGTATTGGCGGAATAAAGAACTAAATAACTGGGGTGTTTTTCATTCTAATTTTCAGCAGACAGCGTTAAATTTCCGGAATAGAATCATTCTTCGCTTGGGTTGGTAGACTGCAGAACTTTTAGTCCTATTCAATCCAGATTGGAAAGTGACAAAAAAAAAAAGTCCGTGGCTTGTTTTGCAGCAAACTGTAAGTTTCAATATTCGAGATTTTGTGGAGAGAGGGGAGAACCTCCCAATCTTCGTACTGTATAATGTATTGGCCCAAAAAATGAAATTATTTTGACTATTCGATGACTTTCCCTTTATTTAAGCCATTCCGAATATTATTCCTTAGAAAGCTAATCTGTGTTAAAACACAACCATGTTTGGAAGTTTACTATACTTCAGCAGTTACTGCAACTATGTTATTATAAACATTCATACATATGCTCATAATATAAGCATAATGATCATAATAAACACGAATATGAACTGACCAAGCGGAACGAGAATGCAAATTAAATTCAAACGTGTGTAGTATTTGGGTGGGAGGAAAAGAATGCCGAATGTACCGGAACTTTCAACTGCATTCGCAATTCTTTGACCAATAAATAGAACGACGGGCACCTGCCTGTACTCTTCGTGCACACCAAAGGTTATGTTAATGCAGAGATAGGGGGAAAAGCTATTTCCGGGAGTATGATTCACCATCTGACATTCCATATTAGGAAGAAAAGTTGTTTATTTAGTTTCGGCTTTGGTACGGGGAAAAATAGCGCGTTCATTAAAAAAGAAAAGCACTAAAAGCAAAAAATAAGCACTTAAAAAAAATAAAGGCTTTAAAGAAAAAGTAAGCTTCTATAAGGGCCTTTATATTTTATTTTCAAATATAAGGACTTATAAGGACCGCTACGAACCCTGCATGACTTAAGGAATGGTCAGAAATTCCAGTTACTTTCAAGATTCTCATATTTAGCCCAAATGAATCTCTCTGGAACGTCATTAGGATAAATGTTTAAAGGATGCAGCAGTGAACAATGCAGACAGAAGAGATACAAGCCAACATAAAACATGAAATAAAAGAAAACAACAACCTCATGTTTGGCATATATTTTAGTCACAAATCTATCGATTTTGAGGACAAATGAAAACAGGTCCCTCTTCATCAGAAGCAAACAATTCTGCAACGAAAAAACAGCCAGAGTTGTATTTAAGGCCAAAAGGAGTAAACTGAATGGGAAAGTAGCACTATCTGTTGGCAGAAATAGTAAAGAAAACTGAAAAATAAAATCAATAGAATTTTAAGAGTATTAAGAGGGACTAGCCTAGATGTAAAGTCATTAACTAAACAAGATACACCTTTGTGAATATGAAAAGCTTCAAGAAAATCCAATTCACCACTGGAAGAAGCTTTTACAGAAGCAACTAACTCACATAGAAGAAGCTAATTAATAAGTCTTCAATAGATAAGCATAGTTGGAAATTTAATCAATTTTGACTACAATGGGTTGATAGATGACACAGGACTGCAAAAATTATCTAAAAAACTTCTTCAATTGGTGAATTGAAATTTTTTTTAAGCTTTCAAGATTTAAAAAGATTTACTTTGTTTAGTTAATGATTTAATTCCAATGCAGTTCTCCCTAACACTTTTAAAATTCTATTAACTTTTCAAATTTTATTACTAATTTTGTTGAAAGATGGCACTACCTTCTCATTTGTTTTGTGCCTTTTGAGTATAAATATGACCCTGGCATTCCCATCAATAATGATTTCTTTGTTCCTGATGAAAAGGGAGCTGTATCTGCACTTGAAATCAATACAGTATTCATTAAAATTCTATGCCAAAGATGATGTTGATGTTTTGATTTAAAAATGTTATATCAGATTACACTTTTCAATTCCTAGAGCATCAAGTTTCTGATGAAGTTAATGTTTCACCATGTGCACAGCCATTATCCACATACAAAAGAACTGACTTGAAACTAGGTAGATGTCAACGTTAGATTATTTCAGTATGGCAGGTAACACAAAAGCTATCTGCTTAAAGGGAGTAATGCCTTGGTGGAGGAATTTCTAAGGAAAATTTTCTCATAAACATATTACACATAGAAAAAATACCCATACAGCCAGCCTGTTTACCTGGGTAACTCAAGTCAAGCTATCATTATTCAACAATCTTAACACGTTGAGTGTGGCGCTGGTCCCTGTGGACTGGCAGTGAACTTTCCATGTGGCCGGCGTCGGTCCCTGGGGACCGTTACAGCGGTTTTTGTTTGGCTGGCGTCGGCCTTCGGGACCAACAGTATTAAGGTTAAAAAATAAATATAGTCTCAATGAAATGTGATCAAATTTAGTTTTAATGAAATGCATTGAAACATTCTAAGCAAAAATACGGCTTAGCTCGCTGCCAGCTGAACAGAAAGGACAGCAAATTCGGCGCTGCGCTAAACGTGTTAAGCACCTTGACAACTGGTGGGAAGCCAATCAAATGATATTGTCCTTGACTGCAAACTAGTAAACAAGCTCTAAATATTACTGTGGAAACAAATTTAGTGAACCCTACGGTCTATCCGTCAGGGTATGCCTAACTGGAGGCTGTTATAGTGGCAGGCCTTATACATTACAGTACGATTAAGTCTTGTGAAATTTTATTATTTTCATTCTGCCAAATACAATAGCAAAATACAAAAGCAAATATTGCCAAAACATCGTTAAGTGCATCAAGATGGCTAACTTAAAAGCATTTTTTTCAAACTACTCCTAGGAAAAATGCTAGTAGAAAGCACACGAGTTGCTTTGACTTAACTATGAAAAATGAGATACAGTTTTTCTGTCAGGAAGTGTTCCTGTGGTAGAGAGAGCATGATGGTGACCATTTCTATCAGATGTCCACCTCTGAAAATGACCAGTACTTCTGAGTCATGGTATTCAACATGACCTCTCTAAATTGCAATCTTTGCAGATGACAAAATCACCTGAAATCACGTGCGGTCATCTTAAAAGGGGTTTCATTATATTTATTTATAAATTATTCTTTTGGAGATACTAATTTTAATCAGATTTTAGCTTTAATATTTCACTAAATCAAGAGTTATATAATTAAAATCTTACCATATGATCGACATTAGGACCAAAAGCAAAATTATTCACAAACAGCAAACTATAAGAGAAACAAAAAGCTAAAATAATAAACCATATTTAAAATATTTTATAGCAACATGAAATGATTTAATTTACCAATAACATAACACTCCTTCAGGTTATTCTTACAAAGATGATTACTAACAGAAGAAAATGCCAAAATTTAAAATACTTGCTGCATAAGCATTAAAATTAGTAGTACAAAGTATTCTTCAGTCCCAAATTCAGGAAATATCTGACAGAAATATTTGGAAAGGAAGCCAAATACCACAAATAAAAATATATTTATGCATGTATGTAACATTTATACACATACAGACATATTTATTTATTTATTTAAAAATTACTTAAATTATTACTAATGTTATTATTAATCAAACAAAAAGAATCAGAAATATTTGCAATAACAGCAACAAGGAAAAAAAAAAGTAAAAAACAGCTAGCTAAACTACAGCTGTCAGTCTGTTTGACGGTCTGTTTTAATTTCTATTGGTTTGTCAATTAGATCATCTTGACCCAATTCTTCAAGTAAAAAGACGTACCATTTAACTTCACATGCACATTCACAGAATGCTAAAAGTTCAGCTTCCATTGTAGATAGAGCAACAATTCTTTGTTTGTTGCACTTCCAATTTATGAAATTTTTACCTAATTTAATAAAATAACCTCCAAATGATTTTCCATCTTCAGTGGTACACTAACTTGCATCTGATGTAGCACTTAATTACCCATTGTGTGAAGTATATACTAAACAGGTCTTTTGTGTTCCTTTAATATATCTAAATATCCTCTTTACAGCCTTCTGATGTTACTCTTTGGGATCTTGATTATATCTTGACAAATTACTTACTGCAGAAGCTAAGTCTGGCCGCCTTGTGCCTGTTGCTAAGTACATCAATGAACCTAATGCTTCTTGATATTTTGTCTTCGACACAGGTGGCGAAGATGCTATGTCATCATGATTTTCACCCAATATTCCTCGAGTCTTTATAGGTTTACATTCATCCATTTCAAAGTTTTTAAAGATTTTAGTTATACACAGTCAAAAGTCGTTAATCCGACTCGTCGGGACTTCGGCGATTCCGGATTATCGATTTTTCCGGATTATAGATCATCAGTTTAAATCTCGTAAGATGGCATGCAGAAATTCTAAAATTAAAAAATATGAAACCGTAATTTATGAAATAAAGAACAATTATGATCTAAAGGGTATCAAAATTTGCAAAAAGAAAAAGCTTGATATTTATTTGTTTACTTAAATAAACATTTCTTTCAATGCAAGTTGTTTAAGTTTTGCTTCGTTTCATGTGATAATACTTTCTCTTTAATTCTATTAAACAGACATAATTTCTTGTTCAGTTACAAAGTCCTATAATTGCTGTGTCAAGAACACCGACTAATTTGTCAATCGAAATTTTTTCGTTTTCAATAACCTCTGTTACTTTTATCGGAAGCGAATTATAATGACGAGGAACTTGTTTTAAATCATATCAAAGACGGAGCATATTGAGATGAAATACTACATTTGGTAAGGAATTATAAGCCAAATAAAATAAAAACATCTGATCTTCAATTATAAGCCAAATAAAATAAAAACATCTGCCCTGAAGATAAGGATACTGTTGACAGATCACCGCGCGGCGTTCCCCCCGCCAAGCAGCGTGAAATTGATAAACAGATTTCGGATTTCAAAACATACTTTCGCTTTAGATCCTTTACATATTAACAAATATATATCAGAAATTCTATTTGATATAATCGAAAGTTTAAGCTTACTTTTATAAAATTGCTCTTACAGTCTGCAAAAAATAATAAGCCGGATCCAATTCGAAAATTAAGGAACAATGCAATCATCAACATTAACTGAAATAGATAATTAGATAATTTTAGCTTATACGTCCATTATACATAAAACGCGCATGCGAAAACGTATTCTGCACTTGCGCACACTCATATGCGCAGTCGTAAAAGGTCTTACGCGCACACGTAAACGCCTATGCGCATGTGTCAACGCGGCGCATGCGCAGAAAGTTTTTAGTTTTGAGGTCCGGATTATAGATCATTCCGAATTATGGGTGTCCGAATTAACGACTTTTGACTGTAGTTTTCTTGACTGAGTATAAGTTTTCCAGATTCTTGCCGGATGTCTATTCCTAAAAATTTTTGTGTTTTAGTGACTTCTCGTAATGTGAACGATTTAGATAGTTGAGAGATGATGTCAATTATCTCAGAATTTGAATTTCCAATCACCATTAAGTCATCCACATATACTGCTATGATAAAATAGTTGATCTTATCTTTATAAATATAAACACACGGATCTGACTTTAGTCTAGTTAAATTCTTTTCTTTAAGAACTTTACATAATTCATCATACCAGCATTTTCCTGATTGTGGTAATCCATATATACTTTTGCTTACAAGAGATACTTTTGTTTGGATCTGATATAAAGCCAGGTGGTTGTTCCATGTAAATTGGTTTATCCAAAGTATCCATTTTAAATATGCAGTTTTTACATCGAAAAATCTTATTTGTAGTTTTTGTAAACTGCAATCGATAGTAATGTTCTAAAGGTTGCAAGTCTCATTACTGGGCTAAATCCATCTTCATAATCAATTCCTTTTCTTTGATTAAATCCTGTTGCTACTAGTCTTGCTTTGTAAATTGTTTCTAAATTACCCTTTTCATCCCTTTTTGAGAATATCCAGTGGTTTTTAATAACTTTCTTATCGATGGGTCTTTCAACTAATTCCCAAACTTCATTAGCCTCCATTGAACTCAATTCTTCTGTCATTGCATGTAGCCAGAATTCACTTTCAGCAGATTCTATAGCTTCATCGTACGTCTTAAGTAATCCTTCATTTGTATTGTATACTACATAATCTTTTAATTTTTCTGGGGGCTTCGTAGTTCATGCTGGTCTTTTCTGTACAGAATTTCCATGACTATAATTTCCAGGTTCTTCATTTATTTGTGGATACTCGGTTGGCTTTTCCAATGAATTGTTATCACCGTGTTCATCATCACTGTTGGATGGCAAAATTTTCTCAGCTTCTTCATCTGTTGTATTATCTTCTCTATAGTATCTGTCAGTTATTTCTGAATTATTTACATTTCCATTAGTTTGTTCCTCATAAAAAATAATAAGTTCTTCTAATATTTGATTTTTATCGAATTCTAAGTAATTTTCTTTTAGTAAAGGTGATCCAAGTTTCCGTTCATCAAATTTTACATCTCTCACTTCTTGAATTTTAATTTGTTCAGGGATATAAATTTTGTACGCTTTTCTCTTCATGCTATAGCCTATCATAATTCCTTTTTTAGCTTTATTCTTTTTTTACCTTTTAAATCCATCTTTCTACGTTTTTCTCGTTTTATATGAACATATGCTTCACATCCAAATCTTTTAAGATAAGTAATGTTAGGCTTGCGCCCTTTCATATGGTTCATATGGTAAACCTTTTATCATTTTTGTGACTCCTGTTATTCACATGTACAGCTACTTTTAACGCTTTCAGACCAAAATTTTATCGGCAATTCTGCATCAATTAACATAGTTCTAGCAGATTCAATTATAGTGCGATTAAAACGTTCAGCTTTTCCATTACTTTCCGGAGTATAAGGGGTTGTAAGTTCATGTTTAATTCCCATTTTTTCAAAAAAAGTCTTTTATGTTTTTAACTAAAAACTCACTACGAATTCTTTTTAGTTTCTTTCCTGTTTGTCTTTCTTCTTGAATGATAAGTTTGTTTAGAGCTTCTGAAGTTTCACTCTTCATCTCAATTGTTATCACAAATATGAAATTATTGTAATCATCTACCACTCTTAAAAAATAACAGCTTCCATCAATTGATTTCTCAATTGGTCCAACTAAATCTATGTGCCATAATCCTAAAATATCTTCAGATTGCTTAAATTTCACACTTTTATAAGATGTTCGTGTTATTTTACCTAATGTATAAGGTTCACAATTGTTTTCAGAAATTTTTACATTTTCTAATCCACTGACCGATGAGTGTTTTTTCATTTCTATCAGCCTTTGATAATTTATATGACCTAGTCTCTGATGCCATAGTACATCATTAACATAACTAATTTTAGCTTCTTCAACAATATTTCCTTCAGCTTCAAATTTATTTCCATTTCTGCTAGCTATATATAGAATGTTTCCCTGTTTATTGATCACTTCTGCTTTATTCTTGGTAAAAATTACTTTTAAATCATGATCTACAATTTTTGATACTGACAGCAGATTTTCACTTAAATTCGGTATTTGCAGAACATTTTCTACTCTCAAGATGTTCTTATTTCTATCAGTTTGCATTTTAATGTTACCATTACCAACTGATTTGATCATGGCCCCTTTTTCAGCCGTCATTATTTGTCGTTCTTCATCTTTAAAATTAGTAAATATTTCTTTATTAGTTGCCATGTGAGATGTGGCTCCTGAATCAATAATCCATTTAATTTTTCTACTCTCTTGTTCATTTATTTTATTCTTTCCATCATTTCTATCTTGATTAAGATATGAGCTTTTTATTTTCTTAGATACTTCAAATGAGCATGTAGCTGATTCATATTCTCTTTCCTTGCTTGACATTCTATAAGTTTTATTTGTTACATTTCTCTTCTGTCGGTGTTCTTGTTTAGTTTTCATTTTACATTCAGTTGATTTGTGGCCGAATTTTCCACAGCAAAAGTACTTTATAATAATATTATTATTTCGACATTCTTTTATTAAATGTCCTAATTTTCCAAAATTAAAGCATCTTCTTTCATATTTCGATTTTATCCAGTTTTCTTTTGCCTTAGAACTTACTTCTATTTCTTTTCCTCTTTGTTTATTTTGTCCTTCTGTTTCTTTTAAAGCTTGTCTAATTGAAGCTAGATCTTTCTCTTTATTGCTTTTAATAACTTTAACATCAATTTCCTTTCTAAGTCCTTCTAGTATGAAGTAAATTAATTCTTTATCTCTTACTTCATCTCCAACTTGAATACTTTTCAGAATTAGAGCTCTA